CCCGAGTGTTCGTCAAATCAGATCATGTTGAATAATTTGTCTGTCCTTGCTAATGGTGCAAAAATATTGTCGACGCGGTCTTTTTTATTAATATTCGTTCGTCTGATAGGCGGTGACGTTGACTAGAAAACACTTCCGTAATAGTCTTCTAGCGCTTTTTTTCCTAATTTTCCTCAAGAAACATTTTTGGCAATACTCAACTGCTCAAATTATAACTTGTTTTGAGAGTTCAAATATCTTGTGTGACGACAGTATGTTAAAATTGAAGGTTTATAAAACATATTGACAAATATCAATTTACCACGGCGGAAATGCTTTCCGTTATTTTCGATGATGTTTCCGTGGAAACTATAGTGCTGACGAATGCTTAGTTGTGTGACGCTGTCAGAGGCTATTACAGTTTACTTACGACAGGATAAACTAGATTTCGCAGGATACAATCAAGGTTTCGCATTCTTGGTAATAGGCGGTACAAAACTTACAATAAAGAGCTACACCTTGCTATAGTATCCAGTAAGTTCGCTTCACGCAATAATGCTTTTTATTTTTCAATGTTTTTACAAATTTTATTGACTGTTTACTTGATTCAGAATTGGGGAATAGATTTGTTGGACTACAAAACTGAAGAATAGCTATTTTCATGAAATAAATAAAGAAACTTGAACTTGAACTTGAACTTGCACTAACCATTCGAAGGCAGTTGCCCACGATCAATAAGATGAACCCATATTTTATTCGTCTTTGTCTTTAAAAACAATACCACTATTTATAGTCAGAGTGCGATGGTAAAATCACGCTAAGAACAAAGAGATGCTTATTGAAAACATTTTTATAAAAGAGGCCGTTTAGAGTTATTGATTTTCACTGAGCAATTTTAGGACCTAACTTTATTAAACGTTTACACGCGGCCACGGGTTTCCACGTCAGTAAAACTGAAGAAGTTTGTTCCAACATACTCAAAACACTTCCACCTTTTGCTCAGCAATACTTGAGTACAAGACGCCGGTTTTAAAATCACGCCTCGGAAACCGTCGTGGGTGAGGCTTTCACGAGAAACGGACGCAAGTCTCTCTATATATAAAGTGTTCTCGAATAGAATTCTTAACCAAATACCACCCAGCTCATATTAAAGATTTGTTTGGAGTATTAACTGTGGAGCTGGCAATATACAGGGACAGTCACCAAGCATAATATACACAGTGGAACTAACTAACGCGTCAGTTCAATGATTGACTTTCTGAATGTTATAGCATAGTTCGGTTTC